TTAAATTCAACGTAGAGAAAAGGAAAATCTTACACTTGGGCAAGAAAAACCAAAAGCACAGATATAGACTGGGGGAAACCGGGCTTAAGAGCAGTGACTGTGAGAGGGATCTGGGAGTCTTTGTGGACAACCAGCTAAATAGGAGCCAGCCGTGTGCAGCGGCAGCCAAAAAAGCCAATGCAATCCTAAATTGCATTAACAGAGGGATGCAATCAAGATCAAGGGAGGTACTAAGACCACTCTATAAAGCCTTAGTAAGGCCACAACTAGAGTACTGCATCCAGTTTTGATCACCACCCTATAAAAAAGAGGTTGAGACTCTAGAAAAAGTGCAGAGAAGAGCCACAAAGAGGATGAGGGGACTGGAGGCTAAAACATACGATGAACAATTACAGGAACTGGGCCTGGCTAGTCTAGTGAAGAAAAGGACCCGGGGAGACAGGAGAGCCATCTTCCAATATTTGAGGGGCTGCCACAGAGAGGAGGAAGGGGGTCAAGCTGTTTTCCAAGGCACCCAAAGGCCAGACGAGGAATAATGGATGGAAACTGAACAAGGAGAGATTCAACCTGGAAATAAGAAGTTTTTCTGACCATGAGAACCATCAACCCATGGAACAGAAGTTGCCTTCAGAAATTGTGGGAGCTTCATTACTGGAGGCTTTCAAGAAGAGACTGGACTGCCCTCTGTCAAAAATGGTGGAGGGTCTCCTGCCTGGGAAGGGAGGGTTGGACTAGATGACCTCCAAGGTCCCATCCAACTCTGTTATTTCTGTTTCTGTTTCCAGCTTTGAATGTCTGTAGAGATTCTCAGATCTAGGTGATAGTTTAGTTTAGTTTACTTTATTGTCATTGCACCTCGTACAACAAAATTAAATGCCATCTTTGGTGTACGTTATAATTATAAAAATAAAAACACAAACACACATCCTTCACATTCTATACAATTGAATTGAAAACCCCTGATATTGCGCTAATATTGCACTATACAGTAGAATTCAAAATAGTTACTGCTCTGGGATAGAAGCTGTTTTTCAGCCTATGTGTCCTATGTGTTTTTATTGTTCTGTACCGTCTGCCAGATGGTAACAGTTCAAAAAAAGGGTGCCCACGATGAGATGGTTGTCCCAAAGGTGTTTTTTTCAGGAGGCAGCTGGACTTTCTTGTTTTTTCTTTTGAAGACATTTCACTTCTCATCTGAGAAGCTTCTTCAGCTCTGATAGGATACTGGGGAATGGAAGGATTTATATTCCTTGCAGACAGCTGGTCATCTGCAAACAGGAAAGTCCAGTTGCCTTCTGAAAAAACACCTTTGGGCCAACTTTGAATGGTTACTAAATAAACCGTTGCAAATCTAGGAATACTTGTCCACTTATGCTCATCATCTTTGTTGCCCTTCTCTGCAGTCTTTCTAGAGTCTCAACATCTTTTCTTATATTGTGGCAACTAAAATTGGATGCAATATTCTGGTGTCAAGTAGTTCCACAGGTTAATTGTTCTCACCGTTAGGAAGTTTCTCCTCAATTCCAGGTTGCTTCTCTCCTTGATTAGTTTCCATCCGTTGCTTCTTCTCCTGCCTTTGGAGAATCGCTTGACACACACCCCTCCTCTTTTGGGCAGGCCCCAAATCCTGGAAGACTGCTATTATGTCCCCCCCTGGTCCTTCTCTTCACTAGACCAGCCAAACACAATTCCTGTAGCCATTCCTCGTATGTCTTAGTCTCCAGGTCTTTAGCTGCTCTTCTCTGCACCTTTTTTCCCCAACGTCTCATCTTTTTCGTAATGTGGGGACCAAAACCGGATGCCGTATTCCAGCTGTGGCCTTACTATAAAGCGGTACTAAGGCTTCACGTGATTTTGATTCTCTGCCTCTGTTTATGCAACCCAGGATCGTCTCGGCTTTTTTGGCTGCTGCCGCACACGGCTGGCTCACGTTGAAGGGATCGTCCATTAGGACTCCAAGGTCCCTGTCTCCGTTCCTGTTTTTGAGCCAAGTTTCACCTAATCTGTACTTGTCCCTTTTGGCTTTTTCCTGCCCAGGTGTAAACCCTTGCTTTCCTCCACATTAAATTGCATTTCTTTGGATAAGGCCCATTGTTCAACTCTGCCAAGATCTTTTTGGATCCTGAGCTTGTCTTCTGGGGTGTTAGCTACTCCTGCCAGCTTACTATCATCTGCAATTTTGATGAGTTTCCCTTCTATTCCCTCATCTGAGTCATTTATGAGTGGGTCCAGTCATCAGACCAACCTCCTCTGCAGCTGTGACTTCCAGAGACAGTGTTCAAATCCAAGGGGGGGGGAACCCCCACACACAGATTGCTTCAACCGTCTGTCTGCTCCGGCAGCTGCCCCTGGACAGAGGATCTACTGTCCAGAGAACAGAGGCTCCCTGTGGATCTTTTCTAAGAATCCTGCCAAAAGTGAAAAAAAAGTCCTTTTTGATACAGTCCAGGTTGCCCAACAGCCAACTAGACCGACAATGCGAGCTTGTTTCATTGTATGCCGTTCCTTAATTTTTATTTTTTTTCCTATCAAGGTGCCCGAATTCTGAATTTCCTGGAATTCCAACTGAGGATCAAACCCTCGTTATGATAGCTGAAAGACAATTGTGCAAACGCTCTTGCTAATAAACAAGAAAGCATCAACAATATAGGTAGTCCTTGGCTCACAAGCCACAACTGAGCCCAAAATGTCCACGCCTACGCACAGCAGTTGTTAAGGGAGTTGTTTTGCTCCGTTTGCGACCTGTTTTGCCACAGCGGCTCCCTGCAATCGTTAAGCGGAATCACACGGTTGTTAAACGAATCCAGCTTCCCCTATTAACGGCTTGTCGGAAGCCGGCTAGGGAAGGCTACAAATAGTGACCGTAGGACACTGCAACCATCATAAATGTGAGGCAGCCCAAATTTTGATCAAGTCTTGATAAGAGCCTTGGTGGCGCAGCAGACTAAAGTGCTGTTAAATAGCACCAGCTGCCTGCAATTATTGCAAGTTCAAATCTCACCAGGCTCAAGGTTGATTCAGCCTTCCATCCTTCCGAGGTAGGTAAAATGAGGAGCCGGATTGTGGGGGCAATAAGCTGACTTTGTATAAAAAAGAACACCGCTTGGGGGGGGGAAAGCCCTACTAAGCAGGTATATACAAAAGTATGAAGGCTATTGCTTAACGCATTGTAAGCCGCCCTGAGTCTCCGGAGAAGGGCAGCATATAAGAACCAATAAGTAAATAAATAAAGTCACCATTCTGCAATGGTCATAAGTGTGAATAAGTGTCGTTGTCACTTCAAATGGTCACTAAATGAACGGTTATAAGGTCGAGGACTATCTGTAACAGGCAGCCAGACCAGGGCATAATCATTCTAGCTGGAGTCCCAAATACATCAGAGAAAAGAAACATTTCCGACCTGCAATCAGTTCGTTTCCAGCGTCATTATTAATCAAAGTTTTCCTTCTCAACAACAACCAAAAAAAAAAACACAGCCGTCAAATAGATTACGAAAGGGAAGCCGTTCAATCCCAACCGTGAAAAAAACATGAAGGAAAAAAAAAAAAAACAGCTGCCCAAACAATGTGAACATCAAACTTCCTGCCTGCAATCAGCAATTTCTCTGCCAGGATGTCTGCAGATCAACCTCTGGATGTTTGGCCTGAACTCCAGGTGTGGATTATGGTTTCGGAGATTGCTGTTGGAAGCCTCTGGCCAAAGCGGTAAGCGAAATTCATTCATTTATTCATTTGTTCATTCATTCATTCGTTCATTCATCTGTATCCCCCTTTTATTATTTTTACATATAACTCAATGCGAACATCTGCAGTACTCCTGCCTTCTCCTATTTTCCTCTCTCTCTCTCCCCCTATCCATCCATCTATCCATCCATCCATCCATCATCTATATCTATCTATTGAAATCTCTTTGAATCTATCTATCTATCTATCTATCTATCTATCTATCTATCTATCTATCTATCTATCTTCTTATCTATCTATCTATATCTATCATCTGTGTCTATCTATCTGTTTGTCTATCTATCTAATCTATCTATCTATCTCTGTGTCTATCTATATCTATCTATCATCTATGTCTATCTATCTATCTCTATCATCTGTGTCTATGTCTATCTGTCTGTCTGTCTTTCTGTCTATCTATCATGTCTATCTCTATCTATCATCTGTCTGTGTATTATCTATATCTTTCTATCTATCTGTCATCTATATCTATCTATCTATCTATCTATATGTGTCTATCTATCTATATCTATCATATATCTATGTCTATCTGACTATCTCTATCATCTGTGTCTATGTCTATCTGTCTGTCTATCTATCTATCATGTCTATCTATTTATCTATCATCTGTATCTATCAATCTATAATCTATCTATCTCTATCATCTATGTCTGTCTATCTATCATCTATCTATCTATCTATCTATCTATCTATCTATCTATCTATCACCTATCAATCATCTATCTATCTATCTATCTATCTATCTATCTATCACCTATCAATCATCTATCATTCTATCTATCTATCTATCTATCTATCTATCTATCTATCTATCTATCTATCTATCTATCTATCTATCTATCTGAAACTCCAGTGGGCAGACCAGCACCCAGGCCAAAAAATTCCCTCACAGCTGTCCACACCATTTGTCCCATGAGTAACCACCGGTCGCAATTCAGTGTCTCAGAAACATTATTTTTCCCACCCAGGTTTCCAGTCCTCGTGGTTCCGAGGGATGGAGGGCAGGACGCTCCTTTTGCCAGAGCACCGAGATCGAGACCATCTCAAAAGCAGAAGGCGAGGGAGAAAAATCTCCGTGGCCCAAAGAAACTCAAAGGAAATGCCTTGTTGGCCCCCCGAGTGATGGGGGGCCCAGTGGCCTGGAATGACAGCCCCCAACCTCACCCCCACTTTGGGATGGCACTTCCAGGCTTTCCTTCTCTGGGAAGAAGGGGGCAGCAACTCCTTCTCCTCCCCCCCCCCCCGGCGAGCACCAACCTGGGGAAGTCCTCGTCCTGCCACTCTTCCTTGACCTCCACGTTGTCCATCCGCAGCGTGGCTTCCGTGGTCCCCATGTTGCCTTCGCTGGAAAGTCCCCTCACCTGTGGAAAGGAGGCGCCAGACTTTGAGAGAACAACACAGACCCGAAGAAACTCCTCTGTTACCCCAAAAGTTTTGATTTTCTTTCCAGATTTTTTGGGAGCCTTTCCTGCGCCCGAAGGATCACACGCTCCGAAGCCAAGAAAATCTCTCCGATTTCTCGGTTGTTTCCCCTGCAGAGTTGATCCTTCCTTTTGGAATCAAAGGACCCAAGAGGAAATGGAGCCCCTCCTCTCCCCCCCCCCCCCACCCCCTCCACAAGGAGGCTTCCTGGAAACTCCCCCCCCCCCAAAAAAAATTGCTAGCATCATTTAAGTCCAGCCTGCAAAAGGGGCCTAGAGGCAGAGCTCTCGCCTCACAATCCAGAGGCTGTGAGTTCGATCCTAGGTAGGGGCAGATATTTCTCTCTCTGGGCACAATGAGAATGTATCTGCTGAACAAAACTCCGCATTGGCGATAGGAAGGGCATCCGGCCAATAAAACACTCAGCTCCATTCAGTTGCCCAGACTGTATCCCATCCTTAAATGATGATGATCTAAGTCTGGCCTGCAAGGAAGGGCTGAAGGAGAGACGTCCTCGCTCAGGGACTTGGATACAATGCGCTTTGGGGTGGAATTAGTCCCCAAGGAAGTGGGGGATCCGGGTTCTAATCCAGCCTCCTGACCCCCACCATCAGGCTGGTGCTGGGGCCAAGAAGGCCCTGCAGAGAGTGGCTCTCCGGGGGAGGCATTCCCCACAGAGTTTCTTCCTACCGGATTCTCTGGGAAACGAAGAGAAGGGAGCCATGAATGAATAAGCAGCTCTCTGAAAAACACGAATTGGACAGTCGCAGAGCTTGGGCGGCTTTGACGGCTGTCCAGGATTTGCTGGCCTCTGTCATTTTTATGCAGGGACCTCGCCTTTTTTTTTTTTTCTTTCATTGCTGCCTCTTGTGGGTGGGACTCAAAGCGTTTGTTCAGGCGGAACACAGAAGCCTTGGAAGGGACCTCGGAGGTCTTCTAGTCCAACCCCCTACTCTGTAATGGATTTTTTTTGTCCCCAGGTATCTTTCCCCCTTTTTCTTCTACACTGTCACGGACATCTTTAAATAAGCATCTCATCACCCAGCTTTCAGGGTGGGGAGAGTTTACAGACACAGATGAGAAAAAAGGGGGGGAAGGGGGCCTGGCTGGGGCTGAGTCAGAGCAGGTAGCTTCCTGAATGGAAAACGCCCAGCAGGGATGAGCTCCAGGGCCCAGGCTAAGTCAGACGGCACTGCATTAGGCTACTTTGGCCTTCGGGCTGAATGGCCAGCAAGGGGGGCTACCCTGGGCTGCTGGGGGGGGGGGGCTGTGGAAGAAGCAAGGCTCAGCGGAGGGAGGGAGGGAGGAAGGAAGGAAAGGAGGGAGGGAGGGAGGAAAAAGGGAGGGAGGGAGGGAAGGGAGGGAGGAAGAGAGGAACGAAGGAAGGAAGGAAATGGGAGGGAGGGAGGGAGGGAGGAAGGAAAGAAGGAAGGAAGGAAGGAAGGGAGGGAGGGAGGGAGGGAGGGAGGAAAAAGGGAGGGAGGGAGGAAGGAAAAAGGGAAGGAAGAAAGAGGGAGGGAGGGAGGAAAAAGGGAGGGAGGGAGGAAAAAGGAGGGAGGGAGGAAGGAAGGAAGAAAGGAAGGAAGGAAGGAAAGAAGGGAGGGAGGGAGGAAAAAGGGAGGGAGGAAGGAAGGAAGGAAGGAAAGAAGGAAGGAAAGAAGGGAGGGAGGGAGGGAGGAAAAACGGAGGGAGGAAGGAAGGAAGGAAGAAAGGAAGGAAGGAAGGGAGGAAAAAGGGAGGGAGGAAAAAGGGAGGGAGGGAGGAACGAAGGAAGGAAGGAAATGGGAGGGAGAGAGGGAGCGAAGGAAGGAACGAAGGGAGGGAGGGAGGAAGGAAGGAAGGGGAAAGGAAGAAGGGAATGAGGAAAGGAGGGAGGGAGGGAGGGAGAAAGAAGGGAATGTGAAAGGAAAGAAGGCCGAGCCCGCCAGCGCCTCTGGACAGCCGGGCAGATGCGCGGCCAGGCCTGCCCAGGTGAGGCCGGAGCCCTGGCCCTCCTCGGCGGGCGGGCCGATCCCCCTGCGGCCGGAGCGCGCCTTACCGAGCCGGGCGTCGTCAGGCGGCGTTGGGCGGCAGGCGCGGCTGCCCCTCGGGCCCGGCGGCCCCCATGCCCCCTTGGCTGCGGCGACGCCCGGGCTGGAAGGAAGCGGCCGCTCCCGATGAGGCTCCCGACGCCGAGGATGCTCCGCTCAGCCCGGCCACGGCAGTCCGTCCGCCCCAGGCGCGTCCCCGTGCGCGTCCCCGCCCTGCCGAGCCAGCCGAGGGCTGAGCAGCATCTGCAGGAGGACGAGCGCAGCCGGGCAGCGGAGCCACGAAGAGCCCCCCGCCTCCGCCGCCCCCGCTCTCGCCTTCTCTACAAGAGACCCCGCTTGTGATCCTTGCCCCTCGCCTCCCGTTCGCCCCCTTTCTCTAACGACTCTATCCCACTGAGTCTCTGGTATTGGCCTCGCCCTTGCCCTGCGGACAGTCGGCCCCAGCGAGTTGGCCGTGGCCAGTTGGCCATGATGAGAGGGTCATGGGGAGTTGGCCATGGCAAATTGGCCATGATGAGTTGGCCATGGCAAATTTATCATAGACCCAGTCCCCAGCACATGCTGCCCACCTTCTCTGCAGAGGAAACAGATGAGCCACTTTGGCAGCAGCTGCTGGCCACTAGACGGGCATGGGGGAGATGGGAGGCTGGCAACCCCAGGAGTGGGTTGCCTCAGGATGCCACCTGCCATTCAGACCAAGGATGAGCAGGAAGACCCCCTCTGGGGACACAAGGATGAGGCCGTGCCAGTCTGCCTTGGCACTGCTGAGCTGGCACCCCTGACTCAGGCGATGCCAGACTTCCTGGGCATAAGAGAGACTTCTGGGGTGCTGCTGCCATGAGGGGAGGGGTTATGTGCGGTTTTTAATTTTTCAAATGTGGAACATGGCCCAGAGACATTCTCTGTGTGAGCCACATAAATGGGATTTACTAAATAAATAAATAGCTGGGTCAGGGATCAGGCCTTGGGAGGATTTCCTGCATTGGGGGGGGTGTGTGCAGGGGGACTACAGCCAGGCCACCCAGGTGTGTCATTAAGGGGGCATTTCCGTCTGCCAAAACACAGGAGGCAGAGCTTAGGAGCTGGAGGGCAGGGGGGAAGGAGAGCCCCTCCCCCACATTATGGGAGGACAGACTGGGTGGACTTCCCACTCCCAGAATTCTCCCACATCTTAAAATGGCCCCGGTTGAGAATAGCCGAATGACAGAGTTAGCAGGGACCTTGGAGGTCTTCTAGTCCAACCCCCTGCTCAGGCAATCTCCAATCCCAATCTCTTCTAGCAAAGCTCCAGTGTTGGAGCACCCACAACTGAAATGGTCTAGGGTTTCCTGCCTGAGCAGAGGGTTGGACTAGAAGACCTCCAAGGTCCCTGCCAACTCTGTTATTCTGTTCTGTTCTGTTCTATTCCGTTGTATTCCATTCTATTCTGCTCTGTTCTGCTCTGTTCTACTCTACTCTACTCTACTCTACTCTATTCTCCTCTATTCTGTTCCATTTGAAACAAGTGACTGTCTAATTTCTTCCTAAAAAAACTCCAGCTATGAAGCACCTACAACTTCTGGTGGCAAGCAGTTCCACTGGTTGATTGCTCTTACTGTCAGGCATGTTCTCCTTAGTTCCAGGTTGCTTCTCTCCAGGTTGGTTAGTTTCCATCCGTTGTTTCTTGTCCTGCCTTCTGGTGCTTTGGAGAATAATTTGACCCCCTCTTCTGTGGGGCAGCCCCTTAAATATTGGAACAGTGCCCTAGTCTTTCTTAGCACCAGGTTAGTCCATGGTGGTGAAAAATCAGGAGTCCTGTAAACCTGTTTTTTTTTGGGAAGGGGCTGAAATTTCTGCCTTTAAAGAAAGTTTGTGACTCAGCAAATGTATCCCAAGCTCCTCCGGAGGCCTCAGTTTACAAACTGACCCTGGAATGGTTCCTCTTCACCAGAAATAAATTTCATACAGATGTTAATGTGGCATCTCTGGAAGGGATGAGGCTGTTGCATGTGGAGGTGCCAGGGCTGGATTGTTTTGCCTATTAAATGAATCTCCCTTCCCTCCAGACTTGAACCCTGGGCCCTCTCTAACAAATGAAATTCAACGTAGAGAAAAGTCAAGTCTTACACTTGTGCAAGAAAAACCAAAAGTACAAATATAGAGTGGGGGAAACCGGGCTTAAGAGCAGTGACTGTGAGAGGGATCTGGGAGTCTTAGTGGACAACCAGCTAAATAGGAGCCAGCCGTGTGCAGCGGCAGCCAAAAAAGCCAACACGATCCTAAATTGCATTAACAGAGGGATACAATCAAGATCAAGGGAGGAACTAAGACCACTCTATAAAGCCTTAGCAAGACCACACCTAGAGTCCTGTGTTAGGATATGGTTTGAGCCTAACAGGTTGTCCAGGCAATATATGTGTTCTGTGACTTTAACATGAATAAACTTTAAAACTCCCTTTAAAGTTTTACTGCTGATTCATTGAAATGCTGAGTCATGCTGTAATTAGATAATCACTGGTTGTAAACGTATTTAAGAAAGGTACTGTAACGTATTCAGTTGATGATATGCTACCATAGTGTGTGGAGTTGCTACCATTGTGCTATCATCTTTGGATGGATCTGCTACCATCGTGGTTTGTTACCAGAGTGAACTTGTTATTCTAACCAACTACTGTTTGTATGGTAAGAAGATTTTTGTATCACTGGACTGATTTAACTGGCAAAGGCTTGGATTGATTTAAAGACTATGAGATTGTTTTTTCTCTATAAAGTACACTTTTGATAAACCAGTTTGCACATCTCTTATTCATTGCTCTCAGCAACATTTCTCTGTGCTCTACACTCTGCTGGTTGGTAACACAACAACAATATCCTTAACATCCAGTTTTGGTTGCCATGGTGTAAAAAAAGAGGCTGAGACTCTAGAAAGAGTGCAGAGAAGAGCAACCAGGATGATGAGGAGACTGGAGACTAAAACATACGATGAACGGTTGCAGGAACTGGGCCTGGCTGGTCTAGTGAAGAGAAGGACCAGGGGAGACAGGAGAGCATCTTCCAATATTAGAGGGGCTGCCACAGAGAGGAGGAAGGGGGTCAAGCTGTTTTCCAAGGCACCTGTAGGCCAGACAAGAAAGAATGGATGGAAACTGACCAAGGAGAGATTCAACCTGGAAATAAAGAATTTTCTGACAGTGACAGCAATCAACCCATGGAACAGAAGTTCCCTTTGGAGGTTATGCAAACTTCATCATCTTTCCAGAAGAGACTGGACTGCCATCTGCCAGAAACGGTGTAGGGTCTCCTGCTTGGGCAGGGGGTTGGACTAGATGACCTCCAAGGTCCGACTCTGTTCATCTGTAATAAGATTGATTCATAAAAGCATTCGAAGCATCCAAGAAATGCTTTAAGGCTAAAACTGTTCTCAGGATGTAGTCCAGCCTGGCCCATCAAAGCTGGCCGGAAGCATGGAGGAAGTCCCCAGCCCAGCTAAGGGGCGTCCGATCCCTCTGCTGTTGTGCTAGATCCCACCCCCCCACCACCCCCCAGCAGATGATCCCAAAAGTGACCAACAGGCCTTGGGAGCAGAAGCTACGGATAGCCCCCCCCTTTCAATTGAATTCACCTGTTCAGTTGAAGTTCTCTTGTCTCTAGCATTTATAAGCTAGTAACCTTGTAAGGGAGATGGGCAGCAATGAATTGATTGATTGATTGATTGATTGATTGATTGATTGATTGATTTGACCGGTCCTTGGTGCTCTCTGAGTTTCATGCAGATGTTTCCTCTAGGTAACATCATCAGTACTAGAAGGGAAGGGGGCTTGTGGAGAGGAGGAGGAGGGGGAGGAAGAGGAGGAGGGGGAGGACAGTGACTCTGGGGTGCTTGGTGCTCTCTGAGGAGGAGGAGGGGTGGAAGAGAAGGAGGAAGAGGAGGGGGAGGAAGCAACTGTGGGGTCCTAGGTGTTCTCTGAGATTGGTGGTTTTCTTTGAGACATTTCATTACCCAAGTAGGTAACATCATCAGTGCTAGAAGAGAGAGGGGTTTGCAGAGAGGAGGAGGAGGAGGAGGACTGTGGGGTTCAGCTGAAGTTCTCGTTTCTATCATTTGTAAGCTACCCAGAATCACCTTGTAAGGGAGAACGGGCAGCTTGGAAATGAATCGATTTATTTTTGCCCCATTTTACGGGCTTTTCTTCCGCCACCGTCGTTAAAGTGAATCACTGCAGTTCTTAAATTAGTCACCCGGTTCTGAAGAGAATCCGGGTTTCCCCATTGACTTTGATTGACAGGAGGTCACAAGAGGGGATCAAGTCTCACACACACGCACACACACACGGGACACTGCGACCGTCATAAATTGTGAGTCAGCTGCCAAAGCGTCCGAATTTGGATCACCTGATCGTGTGGGATGCCGCAGCGCCTGTAAGTGTGAAAAACAGTCCTGAGTCACTTTTTTCAGTGCCATTGTAACTTCCAATGGTCACTAAGTGAGCTGTTTGTAAGTCGAGGATGACGAGTATATGCCTATCACACACACACACAAATATATATACATACATACATACATACATACATACATACATACATACATACATATATTTGTCTTCTTAAGTTTTCGCGGGTGTGCATATGCAAAAAATTAAAATCTCGGGTGTTTTCCCGCTTCATTGTAAATAAGTTGGTTAAAATGTTTAAAATTCTGGTTAAAATCCCAGCTTAAAATCTTCTAAAAATCCTTACAGGATTTTTTACAAAGTCTGTAAGGATTTTTAGGCAATTTTAGCTGGGATTTTAACCAGAATTTTAAACCAACTTATTTACAATGACGCGGGAAAACACCCGAGAGATATATATAATATGCCTATAGATGTTCAATCATAATGAGCGTAAATTTTTGTGTTTAAAATGTTGGAACATTTCATAAAATTATTTTAAATACAAGATGCTAAATCACAGTCCATTTTGAAGAAATAGTGTGTGTGGGGGGGAAAGAGATGGCTTCCTCTTGAGATCTCCCTTCTTTCTCCATGAGGACTAGAATCCCTTCTTCCTGGAAAGGAAATGTGACAGTCCAGAGGGGAGGGGGTGTGACTGTGTATGTGTGTGTGTGTGTGTGTCAGAGCAGAATCCTGCAGCCTGCTGTTCAACAGGTGCAGATCAACACACGCAAACCGGCCCCTTTCGGCTGGGCTGCCAGTCAAACGCAAAAGGATCCCCCCTCCCTGGCAGAAAAGGATCCCCCCTCCCTGGCACCCGCCGCCCGGGTGCCCGCTTGCCCTCAGCCCGGCTCCCGCTGTCTGTTTGCTGGGAGGGACGGGAGGGGCTCAGTTTACCTTGGCGACGGTTGCTTAGGAGCCTGCCCAGGTCGCCGGGCAACGGTTGCCAAGGAGGATTGTTGCCCTGGCCTGCCAGCCAGCCAGGCCTCTCTGAGCCAGGAGGCGGCTGCAGGCCAGCATGGCGTCCACTTCGGTGTTGGTCAACCGGGAGGAGACGGGTGGGGTGGCCACGGGCACCTACTCGTACTGCAGCCAGCCTCGGGCCGTGCCCAACCGACAGCGGTACCGGACGACCCTGGAGGCCAATGAGCTGTGAGTACCAGGCGGGCTGAGGGCCGGCCGAGGAGGGTCTCCGGTTTCCCCCTAAGGCTTTTCGGATGGCAGGCAAGGAAGGTGGGGTGTTGCCCCTCTCTGTGGGTAAGGGGACGCTCCCTTGGCATTGCTACCCAGATCCTCCTGCTTTGCTCTCTCTCCTCCCTCCCCCTACTCAGCTCCAGATCAGGGGTCTCCAAATCCAGAGAGGACCCTCCCTTTGCTTGGGCCAGGGTGGGGTTGGACTAGATGACCCACAAGAAACAATGGATGGAAACTAATCAAGGAGAGGAGCAACTTGGAATTAAAGGGAAACTTCCTAACAGCGAGGACAATTAACCCGTGGAACAGCTTGCCACCAGAAATTGTAGGCGTCCCATCACTGGAAGTGACAGTCACTTATCTGAAATTTCATGGGTTCTCCTGCTTGAGTAGGGGGGCTGGACTAGAAGACCTCCAAGGTCCCTTCCAGCCTAGCCTAGTCTAGTCTAGTTTAGTCTTATTCTAGTCTATTCTTCATCCTCACTGTTAGGAAATTCCTCCTTAGTTCCAGATTGCTTCTCACCTTGATGAGTTTCCATCTGTTGCTTTTTGTCCTGCCTTCCGAGAATAGGTTGAAACCCCCCCTCCCTCTTCTATGGGGCAGCCCCTCAAATATTAGAAGACTGCTGCCATGTCACCCTTATTTGGCAAGGATCTTTTTCTGCTTTCTGTTTACCCTACAAATCAGTGTTTGTCAACATTGGGGCAACATAAAGGTGGATCGACTTGGACTCCCAGAATTCCCCAGCCAGCACGCTGGCTGGGGAATTCTGGGAATCCAAGTCCATCCATCTTCAAATCATCAACGCAGGTGGACATGCAAGAAAGCAAAGGCCTTCTAGATAAAAATTTGGTGGGTTATGCAAAATGTTTTGAAGAAGAAAATTCAATTTTCTCCTCAATTGTTTTTACTGGGTAGAGTTAAGGGTTTTTCAGTGGGTGAAACAAAATTGATATTGTATATGGTGACAGCTGCTAAGTTATTGATTGCTAAGTTAATATTGGAAAAGGGATGACATGCCTACAATTCAAGAATGGACTTTGAAGATGGCCAGTTTTGCAGAAATGGCGAAGATATCAGCATACTTAAAAGACCAGACTCAAGATACTTATGCAGGGGAGTGGAAGAAATGGATAGATTATGTGCAGAATAAATATCAAACTAGGAAGTTAAATGTTGTGTAGAAATGTATAGTTTATAGGGGGCAAAATAGTTTATTGTTATGTAGAATTGTAAACTACACAGGGGGGAGAATGGAGGGCTGGTAAAGTGTGACATAATATAATGTGGATGGATTTCACCTTGGGGAAGTCATGGGGAGGGGGGAGGGTTTGGAGGGGTAAGGGAGGGATGGGGGGGGAAAGGGGGGGGGAATTGATGTTTGTAAAACTTTTTCAATAAAAAAAAAAATCATCAACGCTGACCAACACTGCTTTAGATGCCTACTCAACTCACCATGTCCGATCTTAGACTTTGGCAGCTCCTGCTGGTTGCAAACAAACATCAAACACCATTTCCCAACCTGCTTGTTAACATTCTCTTTCGTTTTTACTATTCCAGGGAGGAGGAACCGGTTCACTATGCCAACCTCATGTATGAGCGGAGAGTGGTTCGTGGCAACACGTATGCCCTCCACGTGTTACCTTGGGTGAGCCTTTCTTCCCTGAAGCTTTTCTTTTTACTCGGGGAGGGAGGTGTCCGTTTTAAAATAGGCCTGCTCAGCGGATTGTTTAGAAAATGTTTGGAACAAAGTGGAGCTGTGTTGTTTAAGTGGGAAAATGTATGCCAGCTCCGCTTTCTGCTTTTGATCAGGGATGCCCAAGAAGATGCCAATTTTGAGAGCTGAGCTTGCAGCATCCTCCGTGCCTGTCAGAGTGACACGAGCCAGATTTTTCTCTCCTTGGCCCCACAGTACTACTATGAGGGGAGAGGTGGGGGAGACACAGCCCTAGAATTAAGAGGTCCTGCCAGCATAGCAGGGTGGGATTGGACTGGCACAGGGAGACCCGAATTCAAATCCATCCTCAGCCTGGCCTTTTTTTTTTTTACAAGACAGGGGTTTGGGGAAGAGGTTTTGCTGTGAGGGTGGGGAATATGTTGTCCTTAAATGCAATTGGAGAGTGACCTAGAGGGCATCTAGCCCAGCCCTTCCGGTTGTGACCCAGGCCCACGTAGTTGATATTAAATGCAAAACAGTCCCAAAAAAACAAACAGATTTTATTAAAACAGCTGAGAATTAACTCATTCTCAGCGTATTCTAAATGAAATGAAAGCAAAGTCCTCAAAACATCGTTCTTCAGTTTATCTCTGACCTTGGGATAATTAGGCAAAGTGCCAAAGGCTTCTCAGTTCAGGAGCAGAAGATGCCAACAAGAGATAAGTGCAGCAAGACTATCAACGTTGTTTTCCGACAAAGAGCCCAAGAGCCGTTGCTGGTCTTTTAAGCTTTATGGGAGGGGCCAGTCATCTTTTGGCCTTACTCCCGAGTCGTCCTCTCTGCTTTAGCTGCTCCTGCCTTCTGGCAGCTCTTCTCATACGTGCACTAGGAACAGGCTCCTCCCGTTCCTCTGCCTCTCTACTGTCAGCCTCTGGAGGCTCCGGAGTCCGCACATCACTCCCCGATGGCCCCGTCCCCATCTCTGCCCTCATCTGGGCCTTCCTCAGCCTCCAGGACTGGCCCCTGTTCTTCCTCAGCCTCCTCACTGTCTGACTCCGCTGCCAGCTCCACAGGCTGCTGGCAGACCCCAACACTTCCCGGCCATGCACGTTAGGCCTTTCCACGTTCTTCTTTGGCCACGGACCCCAGCTTGTCCATTGGAAGCCGGCATGCTCCTTCCATCCACCCAAGGAAATTGTGTTAAGCGTGCAGTCACTCAACAACTGCAACTTGAAAAACCCAGGATTGCGGTCGTCGAGCGAAGCAACCCCAAGGTGTCTCGCGGAACGACGACTTTTCGCTCAACGATCAAGATTCTGGGCGCAATTGGGGTGGGCGCTCTCCACATCACAGAGAGTCTCTTAGGAGATTCTTTTTTTTAAAAAAAAAGGGGGGGGGTGGGAGGGAACCAGGCTGTTCCAGAGCCTCAGCATTGTGTCTCCAGCTTAGGAAATGTCTTTGGAACTCCCCGAAACTTGACCATATGGTTGTGGGTTGGCATTCCAGAGCAGTGAGCCTGATCCGCTGGAGCTACAACGCCAGCGGGAAGCTCATCGGAAGATGCTGGCGAGGAAGAGAGCGAAGGAGCAGCTGCGGACCAGAACTCCAGAACCCCTGGAAGGCAGGCGCCACGTGGATGTCCAGACAGGTAAAGTGAAATTCAGTGAAATGCCACCCTCTAACTCATGGGGGCAGGGAGGAAATCAAGGAGCTTTTCCAATCGGGCAGAATCGGTCTTTAAATCAGAAAGAACAACCCGGATGATTAGGGGACTGTATGTCTTGTTTTTACTTTGGCTGTTCACCGCCCTGAGTCCTACATTGGAGAAGGGCGGTATAGAAATTTAAACAAATAAATAAATAAATAAATAAAACGAAGAACGGTGGCAGGAACTGGGCATGGCTACTTTAATGAGAAGAAGGACTAGGGGAGACATGATAGCAGTTTTCCGGTATTTGAGGGGCTGCCCCAAAGAAGAGGGGGTTCAACTTATTCTCCAAAGCCCCAGAAGGCAGGATAAGAAGCAACGGATGGAAACTAATCAAGGAGAGAAGCAACTTTATTTTATCAAGCTGGCCTGGCCTAAATCTTCCCCCTTTTTAAATGTGGAAATTTTAAATTTTTAAATTTTAAATTCGTCTTATTTATAGGGGTATGGGTAAGGCGTTTTAAATTGGGGAGCCATTTTAGATTTAATTCTGTTTTAAACGTATTTTAATTGTTTATATTGTATGTTTTTTAATTTTGGCTGTTCACCGCCCCGAGTCCTTCGGGAGAGGGGGCGGTATAAAAATCTAATAAATAATAATAATAATAATAATAATAATAATAATAATAATAATAATAATAAAATAACTTAGAACGAAGGAGAAATTTCCTAACAGTTGAGGACTACTAACCAGTGGAACTGCTTGCCACCAGAAGTTGTAGGTGCTCCAACACTGGAGGTTTTTAAGAAGAGCCTGGACAGCCAGTTGTGTAAATTGGGTCTCCTTCTTGAATAGGGGTTGGACTAGAAGATCTCC